GAATGATGGGACGTACGGGAAGAGTAGGAGAGCCCTTATCACTGTACACAAAACAGCACTGAAGCTTAGTTTATATACATTTCCTCAGTATTAGGGTAGTTTTTGTTTCGTTTTTGAGACAGGTTCTCACTGTGTAGTTCAGACTGCCCTGGAACCCACTATGTAGCCCAGGCTACATAGTGATCCTCCTGCCTCAGTCATGCCCCACCATGCCTGGCATGCACCGGAACCACTAAGCTGAATCCCCGGCCCTATTTCCTCAGCATTAGGAAAAATAAGTTTTAATATCTTCTTGTAAGTCAACAGACAGTTTGAGTACCACCATTTTGGAGAACCTCAGCATAAAGAATATATATTAGAGGGATAGAAGTAACTACAGGAAGACAGACCAAGAATAATCCAAGTGTGTGGCAATTAGAAAAATGTAAAGGAATATACAGTATAAAGGAAAAAACATGGATAGAGAGGACGGATGGATAGATTGCTATGTAAATAAGCACAATGTAGGCCAGGGAGGTAGCCCAGTGGTAGCATGCTTGCCTACCACGTGCAAAGTGCCAGATATGACTTTCAGCATTGTGGGGTGGGGGAAGAAACACATATCACAAAACGTTAATGGTAATATCTCAGTGGTGGGCATATATGTTCACTGTAAAATTCTTTCAGTTTTTGTATCATTTTATATACATGAACTTGAATAATGCACTGGCAAAATGAGAAAAAGAAAAAGCAATGGGTTTAAAAACTTCTAAGGGAGGCCAGGGATGTAGCTCAGTGGCACCATGCCTGCCTCACAAGCACAAGGTCCTGAGTTCGATTCCCCTATAAGGAGTGGGGGAAGAATAGCTAGAGTTAATATGTTTCATGAGCACTTACTGTGTAACGGATGGTGGCTCAGTTTCTTTACACTTAGTAAAAACCACATAGGGAAGACCAAGAAGAGAAAAAGTAGCAAACATGATTGCAAAGATTTTGGCCCAGATGATTATGAGGATGGTATTTATAATGGAAGCTGTACAGGGGTGGCAGCAGGAGAAAGATGTCACATTTAGTTTTAAATAGGCTTATCTAGGGCCTGAGGATATAGCTTAGTAGAGCACTTGCCTCGTGTGTTGGAGGCCCGGAGGTCAGAACTTCAGGACCAGAAAAAAGTAGTAGCACTTTAAAGTGCTAGGAAGACAAATAAAAACAAAGGCTTGAAGCAATAGGAAATGCGGAAATGTAATTCAGAATAGAGGGTAATACTAAGGATTTGGATAAAGGTACTTGTTACAGTAAATTGATAGAGTGATGATAATAAATACCTCTAACAAAAACAAACAAAAAACAGGAAAAGGCAGAAAATTGAACTAAAACAATTAAAGGGCAGGAAAAGGAATGGAATCCATCAAAACAGACTTGTCCTATGGCCAGGATTTAGCTCAGCAGCACAGTGTCTGCCTTGCAAGCATGAGGTCTTGAGTTTGATCCCCAGTTCCAAAATAAAATAGACATGCCCTGAAAGACTCACACCATATTAATCAAACTCTGCATTATATTTTATTTGCCTTCATAATGGCTGATTTCACCGTAAGAAAGAACTTACCATTTAAAGTCTTACAGATAAGGAAGTATATAGCATAAGAATCGTTTGAGTAGTAATTGACACATAGTAAAATGTGGAGATCTTAAGTGCTCTCTCAATAAATTAATATAACTGATTGCTCGATTACAACAAAAGGGTATGACGATTCCATATACCTGCGTAAGTGCTGCCTCAAAGGGTGTAGAAATACGCCTCATTTCAGAGAATTTTCTCCATTCACCCCATGTCCTCTCTCTCTTCTCCTCATTTCTCTCACTATAAAGAATCTGGCCTGTTTAAATAATGGACAATCAAGCGCCTATTCTTTTGATTCAGGTTTTTTACTCAGCCCATTTCTGAGATTCACCCATGTTGATGAGTGTTAACAGTTTTTTCTTTTTACTCGTGAGTAGTATTTCATGGTATAAATTATTTATGCAGTTTCTTGTTGATGGATACTTAGGATGTTTAACTGTCATTCGAATATTCAAAACAAAACAATAAACTAAAACTAAAAACCTCACCTCCATCCAGGTTTGAGCTACTGTCACTAAAGCTGCCAAGGTAATTTCTGTAGCTGTCATTTCTCGAAGCAGTACCTCATAGGAAACTGCCAAAAGTTCTCTAAAATGCTCACCCAATTTTCCATCCCCACTAACGATAAAGTTCTAATTGCTCTAAAAATCTCACCAATCTATGGTGCTGTCAGTGGAGATGACTGTAGTCCTTTCAGAGGACGGGGTTGGTATCTTTAGCCCTGAGTGAAAATCAGTGTATCTCACTGTAGTGATGATTAATGACAAGCACCCCCTTTTCACATTCTTAGTAACCATTCTTTTCTTCTGTGAAGTATGCAAGTCCTTTGGTCATTAAAAAAAAAACTTTATTGGGAGAGTATTTTTAGACAAAAGGGAAGAACTGGGGAAGGAAATAAGGAGATGAATATAAACAAAATGTGCTACATGCATATATGAAAGTACCACACTGAAACCGAGTATGTTGTGTAATAGGCACTAATAAAAATATATTAAAAACAACTTAGTCGAGATAAATTTTACATACAATAAAGTTCATCTGTTTTAAGTATATAATTTGGTGATTTTTAGTACTTTACTCTATTGTACAATTGTCACCACAATCCAGTGTTACCATATTTCCGTCACTCCATTAAGGTCCCTTGTGCTGTTAACAGCTCATCTGTATTCTGATCTTCAGCCCCAGGCAATCACTAACTTGTTTTCTATTTCTATAGATTTGCCTCTTCCTGAGAAAGAAGTCATACAATATCTGGTCTAGTTTCTTTCATTACCTGGTACGAGGGACTGAACTCAAGGTGCTCACACATGCTAGGCAAGCACTCTACCACTAACTACACCCCCAGCCCTTTTTAGTTTTATTTCAAGACAAGGCCTCACTAAGTTGCCCAGTATGGCTTGGAATTTGCAATTCTCCTGCCTCAGCCTCCAGAACAGCTGGGATTACAGGTGTATCCCATCATGCTTGGCTTGGCATACTTTTGGGAATCATAGATGTATAGTATTTTGATCCTTTTTATTGCTGAAAATTCCACTATAGAGCTGTATCACATTTTATCCATTTACTGGCTAATGAATATTTGGGTTGATTTCACTTTTCGGGTATTATGAATAGTACTGCTATGAATGTTTGCATACAAGTCTTTCTGCGGACGTATGTTTTTACTCCTTTTGGGTAGCTATCCAAGAGAGTGAAATTATTACATCATTTGCTAAATCTATATTTAACTCTCTAGGAAACCGCCAAACTGTTTTCTAAAGCATGTGTGCCATTTTCCATCCTGAATAGCAATGTGTAAAGGATACTGTTTAATCTCCATCCTCACCAACATTACTTAAAAAAAAGTCATTCTAGTGGTTATAAAGTGGCATCTCACAGTGGTCTTAATTTTCAAACTAGTTGAATGACCATAAAATTTGAATATGTTTTCATGTGGTTTTTGGCCATTTTGTAATATGTTCATTTAAACATTTTGCTCATTTCAAAATATGACTGTCTTATTATTGAGTTGTAAAATAGTTCCTTGTAAATTTTGAACATAACTCCTTTCTTAGCTATATGTTACAAAATCTGCAACTTGATCTTCATTTCCTTTTTTTCTTGAGATATAAGGTCTCACTATGCAGTTCAGCAGGCTGGCCTTAAAAACTCACTATGTAGCCCAGGCTGGTCTTGAACTCTCAGTGATCCTCCTGCCTCAGCCCCCCAAGTGCCGGGATTACAGGCATGTACTATACCATGCCCAGATTAGGTCTTAATTTCTTAATGGTGCCTTCTAATGAACAGAAACTTAAAATTTGCATTAAGTACAGAATATCAATTTTTTCTTCTATAGTCATGCTTTTGTAGCCTTTATAAGAAATCTCTTTCAATCCCAAATCCATGAAGACTTTCCTCTATTTTTTTCCTAAAAGTTTTATGGTTCTAGCTCTTATGCTTAGACCTTTGCATATCTGAAACTAATTTTTGTGTATGGAGTGAAGTGTAGTTAAGATTCATTTTTCCATGTGAATATGAACTTGTCCCCACACGATTTGTCAAAGATACTTTCCTCTCCTCACTTAATTGACTTGGTACCTTGGTTGGAAATCAAATGACCAGATAGGTATTATTTTCAGTGTTGAGTTTGAACATATTTCAACAGATCTATACCAAGATTTATAATTTTTATGTCATTATAAATAGAATTATAAACAATTCCATTTTTAATTATTCTTAGAAAAACTCAATATTATAACCATGCTGAAAAAAATATGTGGAAATTCTTTTTAATTACAACTATTTATTCCAAAAAATAATTTTGGATAAATTTTACACTTATTTATAGGACTTTATTATTTCAGAAAGCTTATATAATACACAATAATTAACATTACTAACTGAAGATCGTTACAAAAATAATTTTTCTAATAATTTTTTAAGATTGTGTTTTAAGGAGACTGAATTACAGATTTCACTGAGTTTCTATTGCTGCTCTAATTTTAGCTAAGGAACAGCCAGAGATATTACCACATCTGTACTAGTTCACACTAGGTTAAATATATTTTTGAAGACTCAACCAACATGACAGTTTGTGGTTGAGAATGTGCCTAATATATTGAATATTTATTTAGAACTTCAAAAGTTTGTCTTTAGGACATACTTTTTTTAAAAAGGCAAATTTACCTCTAAGATTATTTTAAAGAAAAAACTGTAACCCTCACAGAAGAGATAAATGAAATTTCTCATAAAACTATTTAATGATATAATTACCACAGTGAGTTGACTATGAGCTCCATTCACTCTTAAGTGCTTATGCACATTATGGTTTGTTTAGGGTTTTGAAAAACTTATAATCTAAGCAAGAAGAGCAGGAATGAATTAAGAGAATAGGCATGATTAAAAGTTTCTGAATTTCTACCTCCATCTTCACAGTCTTCTGGGGCTTTGGCTCTCTTACAGAGACGAGGATCCAACCAGGTGGTTGTCTTGGTATTGTGGCTGTAGAATAAAGACCTCAATTACAAACAATAAAATAAAGAAGGAGAAAGGTATTTCAAAAGCAAAGATTAAAAGTGACTAAAAACCATATGATGTTGGAACATTTATCTCCTACAGTCTCCATTTGTATCCCTTAAATGCAGCAATTCTATTATCTGTCTGTTACTTCAAAACTGCCATAAAGGAAAGGTAAGATTAGAGGCACTGATTTGAAAATGGAGACTTTTAAAGAAGAGATCAAATGCCAAGTAGAGAATAACATACTTATTTAAAGCAGGCAAAATGTTTCAAAGAGTGGCCACATAGCTACGCACTATGCACTATCTAGCTAGCAAAAGCTGCATGGAAAACCTTGTTTCCCTGCTGAATCCCTTCCTCCCTCCCTTCAAAAAAATGTATTTCCTTCAAAAATATATATGATTTGTAGGTATTAGGCTGGGGGCTGGGGATACAGAGGCCTACAGAGAGTTTCTGCCCTCACAGGGACTCTCTAAGATAGAATAAAATAAAAACAAAATACTTAAGGTGGTTGTACACCATCCCCCCCAAAAATATGGGTATGGTTAAATTCCATTCTACAAAGCTTCATCTGGATGATCCACACAGGGGAAGAAAATGGTAGAACAAAGAGATCCTGGCCCTGGCACTGCCCCTTTCTATGAAGTACGTCAAAGATGCTTTCAGAGTTGTACAACTTCATTCCAGGCCACAATCAGTAAGCTTCAGGCCATGTTTCAAGCAGTAGACAATAATGCTAAAACAAACTACTGAATAGAAAAACAGTGATAGTTCCAGTCTGAAATATAAGGATATTAAAGAATAAAGTTATAGAAGAAAATACATAGGAAGGCAACAAAAAATCTAAATGTAAAAGTTATCAAAGTACTATGTTAATAACAATGTAAACAAATTATTTTTCTTGGTATCTATGTAGACCACTCAGGAAATGAAACCAATTAATCTTACCTTTTGTACCTTTTCTAATCCCCAAGCTACTTACAGAGTGACACAGCCACTGCAAAGTATGACACTAGTTGGCAGACCATGGCAGAAACTTTTTTGGGAGATAGTGAATAATGGATAATCTATGTATGAAAAAAACAAGAGTGTTTCTAGAAAGTCTATGTTATTTATTCTTTCAGAGAAATACTCTCTACAATGAAAACCAATTAAATTAATTTTAGTAAAATGAAAGGAATCAAGGGCCGGGGAGATGTGGCTCAGTGGTTCCATTGCCTGCCGTGCAATTATGAGGGCCTGATTTTGATCCCGGTACCATAAAAAAAAGAAAAAAAAAGAAAGGAATCAAGATTCAAGGAGGCCTAGGATGCTTAAAAAATAAAACAAACAAAAAACACCAAGCATAGAAATATGTTGCTAGACCAAACTCAAATTTGCTACCTGAGAAAAGCTCAATTTTGATTTATTGCTAAATTAGCAATTGTAATATGCTGAATTTTGCCCAGTATCTCCTCTAAGTTAAAGAAGGTGCCCACAGGGACTATTCCTAAAATGTAGTAACGAAGGCCATGGACCTACACTTACATTGTTTTCTCACAACTGCATATTTTAACAGAAGCAATTAACACAGATCCACCACATTAATTTAACACAGATCAAACATATTAGCTATAGCAAACAAAACAGCTTCATCTAGCAGTAAACATGAACTATATTCTGGAGATTAATCCTTTACCCAATGGCAAATATTTTCTCCCATTCTGTATGTTGCTATTTCACTCTATTGGTTGATGCCTTTGCTGTGCAGAAGTTTTTAAGTTTCATTTTTGTCCCATTTGCTTATTTTTGTTTTGTTGCCTATGCTTTTTGTGTCATCTCCAGAAATCCTCACCAAATCCAATTACTTTTCCCCTATGTTTTCTTCTAGGAGTTTTATAGTTTGGGCTTTAAAATTAGGTCTTTAATCCATTTAAATAACATTTAACCATAAAAGCATGTCTTTTATACATCCCTCCCCTGATAATATACTAACATAGCCCCATTTGTAGCATTAAAAAACTGTTAGATTTGGATTGAGGATTTAGCTCAGTCACAAGTGCAAGGTCCTGAGTTTGATCCCCAGCACCAAAACCAAAAAAAAACCAAAAAGAAAAAAACTGTTAGATTCAATGCCTCTTAATCGGTTTCTAATGATATCTCCACACTTCACTTCAGATTTAGTCATAAAATTAGCATGAAAGTCAAAGGAGTTGTCCAAAGGAGAAGTACACCTGGTTGTGTCTGTTTAATATAATCCCGGTCACTAATGCTTGTATAATGTACACATGAGAATGTACTAGATGTGGTGAAAAGACCACCATGTACTCAAAATGTTTTTTAAATGTTAGAATCCTACTTGGTAGAGCAAAGATGCTCACTCTGTGGGAAAAATATGGAAATGGACTATTCAAGGAAAGATTAAAGTCTCTCACCCTTGATTAATTTCTCATTATAATATATTCTTTGACTATAGTGCTCAGCCCTCAATTTTATAGATTTTATTTTTTATTTTTATTTTTCCAGTACTGGGGATTGAACATAGGGCTTTCACATTGAACTACATCACCAGTCCATCCTTTTTTGATTTTTTGAGATAGTCTTGCTAGGTCTAGTTACTCAGGCTGGGCCCCAACTAGCAATTCTCCTGCCTCAGGCTCCCAGAGTGCTGGGACTACAGGTGTATACAACCACAATTGGCTTTTCAATATTTTGACTGTTACTTAACTGTCATATTCTATAACTTCACTATATTACTGTTCTACCTCTGGACAGTAACATTTAAGGTTGATCAAATCATGTGGCATTTGGTATCCCTAAATATTATATTAATGGCATTTTTCCATCAAATTGTTCTTTTCTTTTTTGTGCATTTAGATTTTATCAATGATTCTAATGATTAGTGATATTGTCTTCCTACATTAGTTAATTGTACTATCTGAGAACATCACATCTAAACATATCTGAGTAACATGTCCCCCATAATCACTGAAATACTCATGAAGTTGGACAATCTACTTAACAGTTAAAAAAAATGCAAAGAAAAATGCCCTTTATGCTTCACATTTTTTTTCATCATTGGTAATGAACCTATTTTTAATCCTTCTCCTGTAAAACCAGAAGCCAAACACACTATTCCTTTATCCAAGTCAAATAAAAATGAAATGTCATCTGGTAAAATAATCAGATTAAGAATCAACTATTACTTGTATAAAAAACTATTTTTAAAGAAAGAAAAAGAAATGAAAGTCTTGTGAAAGAGGCACTTCCCAAATGAGGTTAAAAGAACATTTCAGACAATCCTCACAGTGACAGGACATGCTAGAGATACAGCGTTTGCTTACTCAATGAAGTAGATCATTCCTGTGTCCGTGTAGGCCATTTCCCAGTTTTTGGGCAGTGGTTCCAAATTCTCATCTCTCATCATATAATTTCTAAAGTCCATGGAGCTATTTGTTTGGTTATAACTTGGAACAGTCTTCATCCACTCAGAGGACTCGGAATGCCTCTCTCTGTTTTCTGCCATTGTTCAAAACAGAAGAGTGTGAAAAATAGGTGTAGTTACCCTATTTTTTTCAGTAGCCTTGCTCATTTCTAACATGATGCCAAACATTGCATATCATGTGCACATACATATTATATATTTATTTACAATTATATATTGTACATTTCCTTGTCCGTTATATCCACATTGTCATGCAGTTTGACATAACAAACATATTCATTTCTTCCCATTTCCTGATTGATATTAACCCTGCACAGGTCAGTCTCAACTACATAGTGAGACCCTGTCTCAAAAAACCAAACCAAAACAAAACAAAACATTACAATTAATTCAGCATAAATCCTAACAGCAGCAGCATTTATACAGTTCTTTTATATGTTGAACTCTATTTTATTTATTTATTTATTTATTTTATTTTTTTAGAGACAGGGTCTCACTATGTAGTTCAGACTGCTCTGGAACTCACTGTGTAGCCCAGGCTGGTCTTGAACTTGCAGCGATCCTCCTGCCTCAGACTCCCAAGTGCTGGGATTACAGGCATGCACCACCACGCCCAGCCATTGAACTCTATTTTAAACGTTCAACATATATTCATAATCCTTTCAGCAATGCCATTTCTACTATAATTCTTGTTTAATAGACTAAGAAAACTAAGATACAGAGAAGTCAACTCAGTCAAAATTACAGGGCCATTATAAATAGCCAGGGTTTGGATATAAGTGGTCCATGGTCTTAACTACTATACTAAGCTGCTTCATACACTTTAAACAGGCCTCTACACTTATTTTTAAAAGTTACACTCAATATATTTCCTATTCTTAATATAATTCTCTAGTAATATTAAACTCTTTTTTAAGAGTCCTAAAGTCTATAAAGTAGGTAGGTATATTAAAATCTGGTTATAGTCTAAGGAGTCTACAATTCATGCCAATTAAAATGTATTTGTAAAACTTCAAAGATGCCACATTATATAATATGGAATAAAATAACATTTTGGAATAACAACTCCAAATTGCAGACAATGCCCCAGAATCAGGGAATCCGAGAAAAGGCCTGAGATGTCATTACAGTATTTCAACTCTAACTGCCTTTATGCAACCAAGTCATACAATCCATTAATCTTACTACTCACTTTTATCTTTTTCACCCTTTATCCCTGTCCCCATTGCTCCCCTCACCAAACTTATATTCAATATAGTAGAACCACTATAATCACACTTTGTATCCATGCCCGATTCCTCTCCCTGACGTAACACTGTTACATGTATCTGGCTAAACCGTAGCTGCTTCACCATCCTGTCCCCGCCTACACACCACGCCAGCACACGCCACTGAAGGCAGTGTTTCTGCCACCTGCCTTGCAAGTGCAAGGGCCCTGAGTTTGATTCCCGGTACCAAAAATAAACTAAAAAAAAAAAAATATATATATATATACATACATATATATATGTGTGTGTGTATGTATGTAGAAATACAAGATGACCAAAAGTTTTATCCAGTAGAAAACGTTAAAAGTGGGGGGCTGGGACTTAGCTCAGTGGTTCTGCTGCCTGCCTCACAAGGTCCTGAGTTTGATTCCCGGTACCAATCATACATACATACATTCATGAATACCAACCTCGGTAGGTACTCAATAATGCATGACAATCACAGTATATTTCTTTAGACCACTCACTCTCTCTCCTAGATAACTATTTTATACCTTTCTTTTCCCTAAATCATCTAAAGCGCCCCGTTCCTTACCCCACATGTCTGGACCTATGCTCCAAGACCCCCAGGGGCTGCCTGAAACCACAGATAGTACGGAACACTTTATATTTACTGTATTTTTTTCTTTTCCCATGATAAAGTTCAATTTATAAACTAGGCACAAAAAGAGATTAACAGCTAGTAACTAAGAATATAACAATTGTAACAATATACTGTGATAACAGTTATGCAAATCTAGGTGCTCTCAAAATATGCAGTAATATTTTCAGACTGTGGTTGGCTGTGGGCAACTGAAGCAGTGGAAAGCAACACCACAGATTAGGGAGAACATCTGTATTCCTTTCTCAGTCATCTCACCTGACGCCCCCGATTCTCATTTCACTGAGAAAGCACAGCCAAGCGAAGAGGACTTTCCCAAGCTCCCACCTCTGTCTACACAACCGCCCGTGACTCCAGAGATCATCCCTGCTCCCAGCCGAGGCTGGCCGGCCTGCCTGCCAGTAAGAACCTGGACACCCTGACCTCTTGCCTCCTGCCTACACCACCAATCTTCCTTACCTATTAGATAATCTCCACTCAGGTACAACTATGTTATCTCTTCAATATTTAAAGAGAAAAGAATTCTTTCCCCACTAGTAACCATCCCACGTCTCTCCTCTTTACACCAGACCGCCCTGAGAGGACTTACGCTCGTTACTTCCACTCTTGCAGTTCTCTCTTGACCTCGTGTCATTACAGCTTTGAACTTCAGTAAAACTGTTCTCGCCCTCCTATTTAACCACCTATTCTTACACAGTGGCCAACGTGCCCAATAAAACCTGTGGCATAACAGTGAGATTCCATCTCATTCCAGAAAGAATGGCTACTAAGAAATCAACCAATAACAACTGTGGGGGCGGGGCTTTTTCCACTACTGGTGGGTGTGCAGATTGGTACAACCACTGTGGAAATCAGTGTGATTGCTCAAAAAATTAAAACTAGAGGTGCTACTTGACCCAGCTATTCCTTTTCTTGATATCTTCTTGAAAGAATTAACAGCATCATATCTCAATGATACATACACACCTACGTTTATAGGTATATCACAGTTTGTAATAGCTAAATCCTGGAAACAGCCCAAATGCCGGTCCATTGACGAGTGGATAAAGGAGATTTTTTTTTAATATAATGAGTACTACTTGGCCATAAAGATAAACTTTCCTAGCTAAATAGATGCACTAAATTGGGCACACGTGTTTAAATACTACACTGTTTCTCTGGTGTGAGAAACTGAAAGGGTAAATGTATAAAATGTATAAAAGATATTGGGAAATAGGAAGAAAATATTCAAATGGGAAGCGGAACAAGTTGGGGGAGGAAAAAGAAAAAAAAAAGGGGAAGAATGCAAACACAGCTTTTGTAAATATGGAGGGGGAGTGGGGTTGAAGGGAGAGCAGAGGACTGGGGAAAAAAGAATCAAAATGTGTCATGCACAGGTGCAAACGCCCTATGATGAATGCAATCATTATGTATGTCTAAACTGCAGCAATAAAATTAATTTTTCAAAAAGCCATTGTACACTTTGTTTTTTTTTGAGTCAGGGTCTTGCTTCATAGTACAGGCTGGCCCCAAACACTCAGGAATCTCCTGCCTCAACCTTCCAAATGCTGGGATCATAGGCATCTCATCTCAAGACAAAACTCCAAACGTTCCCAATACCCTAACAAGATCCTACACAATATACATTCCCTCCCCACCACTATCTGGGCAACCTTGATGGTTGTTAAGTTGCATGGGTGGACTTGAATTTGTGATCCTCCTGCTTCAGCCTCCCAGAGTGCTAGGATTACAGGCATGCACCATTTTGCAAAGCTTACTGCTTAATATTCTATTCTGCTCACCTGCCTCCCATCACTCTGTTCCACTTACACAGAGTATGCTGTCCACATTTTATCTATCCATGCTGGTTTCCTTGCTGTGGTGTGAATATTTAAGGCAAGCTCCCACCTGAAGCCATTTGTGCCCTAGTTCCCTGTATCAGAATGCTCTTCCAAGTACATGAGTAACTTTCTTTCAAGTCTTTCTGTCCCTCTAACCTAAAATTAGAAACCCTGACCTTCCTACTCACCTCCTCCCGATTTATTTTACTTGCTGGCACCATCTAATATACTGTATTTGCTATTCATTCATTCACGCTGGCCAGTTCCAATTTGCCCATCAGAAGGTACAGTCAATGAGGACAGGGTTGTTTGGAAGGTTTTTGTTTTGTTCACTGCTTTAGTCCCAGAATTTAGAACAAATTGCCCTTAGTAGTCTCTCAGGTGCTCAGTAATCACTTGTTCAATGAAGAAATGAAACATGCAGTCTATTTTCTATGCAGGAAAATGGAAATTTTAAAACATTCAAAGTACAAATCAATCTGGAAGGGAGTTACATTCTTGGGAAATAAGTATGTTGGAGAAAAGTGGCAGCAACCATAGATCTGATACTTTTCTTAATATAGTTCCAAGTGACTGATTAAAGTCCTCTGCTGAATAGCCAATGACTTGTGAAGGTGCTGCTTATAGTATACCTCACTGGGAAAAATATTTTAGCATTACTGAACAACACACTTCATCCTATGTGCACATATTAGCATTCTCTGGAGTTAATTCTTCAGCAAGATGTAAAATAATATACATATCAGTTTATCCAAATAAAGCCCTACCCTCACCTCTCCCTACTTTCTTTCCCCAACTACTTCGATTTTTCAAGGCAGGATTGTAGTACCTAAAACCAAATACACAGAGCACATTTCTCTCAAGTATGACTGAGCTAACAATTACAGTCAGTACTTACTCAGGAACGATGAAGAGTTTTTAGCCATGTTCACTGTTTTTCCATTTAAGCATTCTAATAATTTCTCTTACAAAGAAATGTATATCCAAATGTAAGTATCCTATGATATCTATACAGAAGAGGTAGAAAATGAACTGCCTCTTATACACTCTAGGATATATCTCCCTTGAAATATCAACAAAGAGTATGAAACATCTGCCTTAACAACTGGCTTACACACCTGGCATAAACCACGGAGATTACAGACAGGTTTACCTCTAAGGGAATCACAGTGATCACTGAAGGGCTCTGCATTAGGTAGTGAAAAAAGAACACGAGGGCCAGGGATTTAGCTCAGTGGTTCCACCACCTGCCTCGCAATCTCAAGGACCTGAGTTTGATAACCAGCACCAAAAAAAAAGAAAAAAAGAAAAAAAAAACAAAAACAAAAAACAAGAAAAAAGAACATGCCCCCCCCAATCAAGAACATAAAAATTCCCACATTGGGACAGATTTATGGTCTCTGATTCTAGTGTTTGGCATTTAAAAAATATAAATAGATTTAATTTTGTGCAGTAGTAAAACCTGACAGCAACATTAAAAGACATAATATGATTTCCCTTAATAACCTCTGAAGAATTAGGCATGACTCAACTGAAATCTTTCTAGATCCACTTTGTCTTTAAACCCAAACACATTGAGTAATTCATTTAACATTAAACATAACTATTTGAGAAGTTAGAATAAAATGGAAACTTACAATCTGGAGGGAAAAAATAAACAATGACTATAATGAAATAATAAATACACTACACAAAGCAATTTTATGTCATTTTTGTTTTTTTGAGGTAGGGATTCACTTATCCTCCTCCTACCTCAGTCTCCCAAATACTGGGGTAATAGGTGTCAGTAAACCTAGCCCTATAAATTTTATTAACTAATGAAGAAGAAGCTCAAAGTGCTTTCAGAAAATGATATGGAGATGGGTTCTGTAAATCTGGAAATATAATCAATATTTGTTTTAATTCCTATCATGTGCCAGGCACTACTTTTGGTGCAAGAAATACAGCAATGAACAAAACAACTGAAAAAAATCCCAACCCTTAGGAAGTTTATGTTCCACTGTTCTGAATGGAGTTACCACAATAAATAGCAGTGGAATGTGACTGGCTGCTGTTCTAAGGTTTCACAGCCATCCTCTCAGTTATGAGTGTCAAGAGTTTTCTAGGCGATCACTAATAAATCAGGGAGTCAAAAGGAGCAGATTCCTTTTGCTTCCATTTCTGCTAGCTTTCCACTTGATGAAAAATATTAAAGTCAAAACAAAAACTAGGAGCAGTATCTGGTGTGCAAATTAGCACAGCCTTTGTAGAAACCAATGTGGAGATTCTGCAAAAGTCTAAACATAGAAATACCACCAGATCCAGCTTTATCACTCCAAGGTACACTTCCCTAGGAGAATATTTGTAACTTTTGAGAAGATTCAGAATTTAAATTAAAAACATCACTAACCAATGATTTTTATTAGAAAATGTCCAAATTTTATGTATTTTGGGCTGAAGGCTCTATTATATAACATCTTTTTTGTCCTATAAAGTAGGACTTAGGCCAACAGGACCCCCAGCATGAGTGATTAATTTCAAATATCTTAGGCAACAAAGTAATAGCATGTTATTTCACTTGATTACTGACACCTTGTGAAATTGATTAAACAAAATGAGAACTAATTTTAGCTTACAGAATTGCCTACAGAGGTTTCTACTGTTCCATATGCACTCTTTTTAAAAACAAAAGATCCTATCATTTGTTATCCCTATGCCACAGAGCATTTTACTATTTTCAATTCAATGTCACAGTAAAGTCAGCCTAGAGTATCTGTTAGAAGTTGTTCGTCTGTTTACAAACCTGTGTTTCCACTGCCATTTACAGCCTCCTTGTCCTCATCTTCTTCCTCCTCTGGAAGAGAGCTGTCCATCCTTTCCATCTTGCTGACAGATGTGGTTCGTTTTCTTTGGGATTCTGTGTCAAACTCATTATCAAAGAGGACCTGATCAACCGGATCTGGCTGGAAAGGGCTGGGTTCTGCTGGAGGCTTGGGAGTTCCATAGAAGTTTCCTGAGGTGGACGAAATAGCAGCTGAAAGCACTAAGGCTGAATTGTGAATGTGAGCAACACGACCTAGCATATATCTCTGCTTTGCTTCTTACTCTGAAGGTTTTGAATATCTGAATATCTGCCATGGCCAAAACATTCTTGAGAGAGGATGAAGCAACAGTACGACAAAGAGCTAATTTTTCATGGGCTCATCATATATTACCTAACATTAATTCTATTTACACCACAGCCAGGAATTTGATTATATGGACTATTTATTTATACAGGGTTTGCTGTGAATTTAAAAGGTTCAATGTTCTCTTAAAAGATTAACTGGAATAAAAAGAGGGAGTAAAGGATGATAAAGCTAACTCAAATAAATTTTGCCCTTATGTATATAATGAACTATTTTGATAAGGAAATACGTGGGCAAAAGAGAAAGCTACAAACTAGTTTTATAGAAATGTAGGCTGAATGTAATTTTAAAAAGTTTTTTGGTACATTCTAATTACATTACCCCACAATTTATTGAACAGACACATAATTAGCCTAATTCAATAATGGCTTCCTCTCATGAAAGCAAGAAATTAATTTTTTCTTGAGGATCAGTGATTGTTGCACTAAAAAGAAACATTCCAGAATAAAAACAACTAATATCTTCTCAATTTGTCACGCAGCCAAACACAGTGTGAAAGCATTCAAAAGATGTAGCTACATTAACAGTTTCTGGCTTCTACTAGTTTTGATCTTGTATCGACCATCATGTGAACTGCTATACAAAGATAAATATGGCTACAGTGTAAATACTTATGATTTTTTAAAAAATTACACCTTCTATCAACTTCTTGGGCTCCTAAGGAGGTAATTAAGATGCTTAAGGTAAGTTAATGAAGTTGATGGAATTTTTTCCCCTAGGCAGGAAAAAAAAAGTCACATTTCAAATGGTTATTGACATTACAGAGGTAGGTGCAAAGATCAGTTTTAAAACTTACTAGCCTTTCTACAGACTTTGGCCCATAAGAAAAGCAAAGAACCTAAAAGCCAGTTCAAACTTCTTTGGGCAAAGGATACAGGAAAAAGAGAAATGCCATTGGAAAATAAAATGTGCTACATTTTCCCTGCATTATGCTCAATAATCACACTATCAAGGAATCTGGCTTTTCCAAGATAGAAATAAAAATTCTACTTTTTATAAGTATAGTGGTAGCATTACTAAAAACATTTTACTATGAGTTCTTAGTAATTATTATCCAATTCTGAGAAGTTTAACTTTTTCCAAAGAGGAAAAATCAGAAAAATGCAGGATATTATTTTAATTGCTACCCATAATAACCAGAAAGATTGTAGGACTTTATACATTTTGGTAGTTTTTTGCTTAAAAATATAATGACTGGGCTTAGATTTAAAAAGAAAACTAGCACTGCTCATAAATATGATCTATTTTCCTTCAGTTGTTGGTGACTATTTCAGATAAAGCAAGGTATAAAATTCTAAGGTTTATGAATCTTGACTAAAATTATTAATAAAAAATTTTTGAATCTCTTTAGAGGTACTTTGGAGCTTTTTCTTCTAAAGATTTTCTGAGAAGGGAATGGAATTAATACGAGAAAAAAATGGAAACGAAGTCTTTGTAGATAGGGAGTGGGGGCTGAAGAGAGGGCAGGGGAATGGGGAACAAATAAGAACCAAGATGGATTATGTAAAGGTGCAACTTTCCAATGATGAATGTCATCATACTGTACACCTTAAATGTACCAGTAAAATTAATTTTAAAAAATAATTTGGTTAAAAAAAAGGCTTCCTGATTTTTGCAACAAAAATATCAAAAATTAAACATTTCAAATGCAGTAAAATTACAAAAATAACTATTTATATGTACTTAGATAAATATGTGTATTATTTATACTTATTCACATATACACCCTCTAGATATTAATTACTGTCAGATTTCTTTGAAGAGGCTTTTATCTTTAAAGACATACACCGAGTCACATACAAAATTAAATCCCTAATTTCCTGACTCCTACTTCCCATCTCTTCCCCGAGCTGTTCTAAAGTTGGTACCTAGCACTTTCCCAAATAATGTATACCTCTAGGACATACATATAAAAATCCATAATACAGGGCCGGGGATTCAGCTCAGTGTTTCTGCTGCCTGCCTCGCAAGCATAAGGACCTGGTACCAAAAAATAAATAAATAAATAGATAAAAGAATCCATAACACATACTTATGCTATTACAGGTTTCAGTAAAAGATTGAAGGTTCGTGTTTTGTATACTTTTTCATAAATAGCCCAGAACTGCGTGTATACTTTTTGCAACTTTTTACAATTATACTTCTAAGACAAATTCATATTGATATATATGTGGTTCTTTTGTTTATTTGGTTGGTTTTTTTGAGACAGGGTCTCACTATGTAGTTCAGACTACCTTGGAACTCACTATGTAGCCCAGGCTGGTCTCGAACTCACAGTGATCCTCCTGCCTCAGGCTCCCGAGTGCTCGGATTACAGGCGTGCTCCACCACACCCGGCCTGATATATATGTATTTCATTCAACTTCTCTATATAAGTCCATTTTATGAACAAAATAAAATGTACTTTATGCATTCTCCACCTAAAAGAGTTATTTCCATTCTGTCACTAATTCAAACAGTTGTATAGTGGATATTCTGGTACCTGTCTACGTATGAATATGGGCAATAGTTTCTCATGAGCAGCTATCTAGAGAGGGAACTGGTAGGTCTGAGTAATTTACTAGCTACTGTCAAAATGCTCTCAAAAGGGATGGTACATTTTACATTCTGTCCATGCATATAAGAGCTTTCATTTCCCACAATTAAAATTCTTCAAACTTTGTGCTAACCTGATGAGTATGAAAAGGTGTATGACTCCCATTTCCTTTGTGCACAGTAACTGATAACATGCAATATGCTACTTTGTCATATACCAAGTTCTTAGGCTTTGTGAAAGAAAATATAGGAAAATATCTCTGATTTAAAGACAGAAGAATAGAAACAAAAGCATAAATCATAAGGAAAACAGCGATAAAACCTATCAATAAAAATTAAGGACTTCTGTTTCATGAAGAAATACAGCACAAGGTCAGTAGGTGACAGAATAGAGAAAATATCTATATCCATAAGAGATTATTATCTAGATATCTACAGAACATCCACAAATCAATGTGATTAGGATCCTACTATTAAGAAAAGACAATCTGGGCCGGGGATTTAGCTCAGTGGTTCCGCCACCTGCCTCACAAGCACAAGGACCCAAGTTCGATCCCCAAATACAGCACAAGGTCAGTAGGTGACAGAATAGAGAAAATATCTATATCCATAAGAGATTATTATCTAGATATCTACAGAACATCCACAAATCAATGTGATTAGGATCCTACTATTAAGAAAAGACAATCTGGGCCGGGGATTTAGCTCAGTGGTTCCGCCACCTGCCTCACAAGCACAAGGACCCAAGTTCGATCCCCGGTATAAAACTCAGGAGGCTTGCTGTGAGTTCAAGGCCAACCTGGCTACAGAGTGAGTTCAGGGCTGGCCTGAACTACAAAGGAAGAACTTACCTCAAAAACAAACAAACAAACAAACAAACAAGACAAAGCAAATGAATGCAGAATTTGCAGAAGTCCAAAAGACTAATAAGCATCAGACTACCAGAGAAACTAAATTTAAGTAAGAGATACCACTTCCATAACCATCAGATTGGAAGGCAGCTATGCTCACCACTATACTACCAATGCTGTTAGACTAGCAAAACCATGAATCTGGGTAAGGCCAAGTATTGCTGAGGATGTGGCACCAGTGCTACAGCTGCTACAGGAGCCTTCTTGTACCAAGGGCAATGGAACTGTTTCATTAGACTGGGTACATATTCACTGTAGCAGCTAATGATGCTGCTCTTGGATATGTATCCCACAGATGTTCTCACACAGGTCTGTAAGAAGACATGTGTGACAGGTCCACTGTACCTTTATCTATGGTGATGGAATGTTGGAAGAAAGATCATCACCAGGAGAATGGTTAAGTTAAAAGCTATAAATAAACTACAGCAACATGGCTGAATAAAAAAAATGAATAAAATCAATAAAAAACTGATGTATAGAATATAGTTCAGACATAAATAATCATGCACACAAGACACAATACACATTTTATAAGAATACTTATAAACAAAACCACGCAAACACATTAAATACATCTGAATGGTTAACAGTAAGATGGAGTCTACTTTCACCAACATCAAATCGAAACAAGTCAGTAGCTATCCTTTCCCTCTGAGAAGTCTTCTCTGGCAACCTGTCTAAAGAATTCCTATTATTTTCTTTAAATCCCTTGTTTCTGTTCCCTTTAAAACATCTCAGTTTACAGTTATTTTTTGACTGTCTTCACCACTGAGATACAGGCTTCACTGAAGCAGCAGTACTTTAGTCTTATCACGGCATTCATACACTCTCCTCAAGTGCTCGGCACAGAGCCTACTAAATCAGTAAAATAAATGAAAGAATGAATGAATGAGTCATGGGAGCTAAACCCAAGACAGGTAGTTTGGTCAAACTTCACAAACAAAAGGAAATGACTGCAAGTTCTGAATATTAGAGGGCTATGATCCAAACTGTGTTTGAGGAAGACCAGCATAATAGCAATGGGCAGGGTGGACGGGACAGGGGGAAGGAGCAGAACAAAGGAGATCAACTGCAGTAGTCCACACCTGAGCCTGTCCAGTGAGCAAGGGCATGAGCGTGCATAAGGAGAGCTGCGGAAGCTGCTACAAATGAAGCAACAACTAGATCTGGTAGCTGACTCTGAAGCGAAATGTAAAAGGGGGGAGTGGATCATGATTGCACTGTTTTGAGCTTGTGGTAATGCTAGAGAAAGAAATTATGAAGAATTACTCTTGGAAAGAACATGCACATATGTGGGTATGTGGATTCAAGGTAAGATATTTATTGAACATTATCTCTGGGCACTGAAGCTAAAATCAAGTAAGACAGACACGATCGTGCTCTCTTTGGCAGCACATATTCTAAAAGAAAATGAAAGTCACCATTACCACTATTACAGAGCACATGAAACAGACAATTCTAACAGGATGGTACAGCAATAACGGGAAAGTATAGAGTGCTACTGGAGTGGACAAGCTTGCCAGTAAAAAGCATGTAAGAGGAAAAGAAAGATCTAACATAGTCATTTAAAAACTGAAATTGATCTTGAATTTATACTTTCTGGAATCAAGGTGGAGAAAACAGGGAGACAAAAAGCAAGCCAGTTTTTCTATTTTTGTTCTCTTTTTCTTCCAACTTATATTTTCTTTTCTCCATGATAATCAAAGTATATATAGGTTTCTGAGTGTCCCAATTTTGGATTCCCAACCACAAATAGAAAGCAATTAACAAATACTTGTTGAGTTCAGATGATGAATGTGAATTACTATGAAATACGCAAACCAGCTAGTTTCATTTGTAGTATGTTACTAACAATCAACTTGGTAAAGTGATGGAATTTGAGCTATTATTTAATCCTATTTGAATTAGTAAATTATAAATCTGCAAAACAAAATGTTTTTCCTAAGAACTCTTTAAACAATGGTCAAATTCCCTCTGCCGTAACTGCAGTGATGGGATGTGTTCCGGGCATGGTTAATATTCGGGGACATACCATCGTACGTTCCACTTTCTAACAGTGCTCCACTCTCCTCCAGTGCTTTGAACTGTTCAACAGAAATGAAATTATAGTCCACCCCTGGAACTTCCCCTTCCCTGGGGGCCCTTGTAGTGCCTAAGGAAAAAAGAAAAAAGAAAAAAATGTTGTAAAGTGCTTTTGAACTTATAAAATATCAGAGTAATAGAAAATCCAGTCTACAGAGAACACATGGGAGACACAGACTACTGAATATATCGTACCTGCTAGAATGGAAAATTTAGGCAATTTAACATTATTACCTAAAAGTAGGATAATAAATGTAGAATGACTATATTTTAATAAGATCTACAGATAGCTATGAAATGCAAAACTACGAAAATCCTGAAATAATTTTAGGCTAACTACCCAAGTTATAATAGTTAATTCTTTCAAAATCTCAATTATCATTATTTAACAGCAAGATAATTAAATCTACCAGTAAGAAACTTCAATTGCTTACAACATTATAGCATAAATGACAAAAAATTGTAAATATTTTTGGTGTATAACGTGATGTGTTGACATATAGATGCATTCTGAAAGACAGATGACAACTTTTTTTTTTTTTTTAACAGGATCGGACCCACACTCAACTACATCCTCAGTCCTAGACTTCATTTTAAATAGTTATCCTGAGTACATTTGTCTTCACTAGCATAAATGCACACTTTCATTCTATTTACTAGTCATAAAAAAAAACCCATAAGCTAATTTTTAATTTTTTAAAAATGTTTTTTTATTAATTATAGCACATTATTACATTCATAGGAATAAAAAATATGTGTGTGATATATTTTTTTTTCATTCTTTTTTCCATCCTCTTCCCCTCTCCCCTTATGTCTGTGTCCTTCCCTTTTGCAAAAGATCTATCACCCTGCAACCTATTATCTAGCTTTCATTTCAGTCTTATTTGGGGTTTTTCAAATAAGAGAAATCTTATGGTATATAAGCTTGTATGTCTGATTTATTTCACTTAACATTATGGTCTCAAGTTGCATCCATTTTTCTGCAAATGGCTCAAGTTTATCCTTCTTTATGGCAGAGTAGCACTCTGTTGTGTATAAATGCCACAGTTTCTTTATCCATTTATCTTCTGATGCAAAGAAAATTCTGTAAGTTCTTTTAGTGCACTTTATTTTACAACTTCAACAAATGATAATTATGAATTATTTCACACTAACAACTAAAAGGCTTAAGATGCCTATTCACATAGTGCTTCTTAGAAATTATTGTCTTCAAAAACTGACTATAGTAACAGATCACTAAATTTCTATTAAGGAATTCATACTAAAGTAAAATCTTGCTGATCCGAGGTATAAATTCAGGTGATGGCAGTATTGCCACATTTCAATGAATTTTACTAAACAAGAATCAATTGTTCTTATGAACTGATATTAGCAATGTCATTTCAAATACTACACAATACTAAAAGGGTGTAGGTTTTTAGCTGGAAATAGTCTGAGAGGGCAGTAAGGACACTTCCCAAACCGGTTTCTCTTTCATAGGTCCCCAAGTTGAGTCACAGTGTTTATGGGCTCCTCCACTTCACATCCAACTACCAAATCTAGCCCATTCTGCCTCTAAACACTTCCATCATCCCCACCTAACCCATACTGTTGGACCAACACTCGCCTCTCCCTAGCTATACCTCCCACCCAACTCTGGCTGGGACTTTTCTAAAACAACAATCTGATACAAAATAGCAATGAATTCTCTCTCTAAACTCCTCAAGAGCTTCCTACAATCCCTGGCAAAAGGTCCAGACTATAATACCACACTTTCCAGACCCTTGGCAGCCTGGCCCCTGGCCACCAGCTTCTTTCTTGCCTCTCACTCCTTTCACATTCCAAGATTTAGCCATAATAGATGTTTTCTCAATTCTTTTACTGTTTCTTACATTCCTTCCCCCCAATAAATGTCATTTTCTCTTGTCATTTTCCTAGCAGACTTCTTACTTTCCTATTCTTATTCCTACTTATCCTTCAGGTGCTAGCTTAGAGAGTTTCTTTAGAAAAGTGTGCCTTTTTCTCACTGGCATGTCTTGCATGCTGGAAAGATCTTATAAGTACTCAATACACGTAGCAGTCAAGTGAAATTGTAAATGAAATAGCACAGTGCCCGGCAATATAATATCATTGTCATTATAAATTAATTCAGAAAATCTCTTAATTGCTATTTTTTTAGTTATATTACATTCTATTCTATAATGTGGAAAAAACGCACAGATGATAATACATTAACGGTTGTGATTTGAGAGACTTGTTAAGCCAACAATCTATACAAGAAGACTGTATTGATTTTTCCCTCTCATTTCCTAACCCAGCATTTTCTAAACACAATTTTTTTTTTAAAAATCCATTTTACTGGGCTGGGGATTTAGCTCAGTGGTTCTGGCGCCTGCCTCACAAGCACAAGGGCCTGAGTTCGATCCCCAGTACCAAAAAAAAAAAAAAAGGAATATAAAAAAATCCATTTTACAACAGAAAGGACACAAAAGGTACAAATAAGTTTCGTATATGTTATTTTAAATTTTTTGTTTTCCATACACTGACCAAACTACATTGTTTAACTGCCTAACAGCTTTTAGCTTCATATTAAATAAAAATTAACTCCAAGAAATACATTCCATGGTTAAAATTATAATTTATAATTGCCAATGATAGATGGTGAAAACATGGCCATAATATTTCATACCTCCTCCCATTAAGAGGTAGGACCTGCTTGCTTCATCCCTAAGTCTGAATTAGATTATGACTCACTGATTAATTTAATGGACACAATACTGTATAAGCTTAGGCATCTAGGTTTCCATCTTCATCCTTCTGGAATGTTCCCAACTGAAAGCAAGGAAGTCCAGGCTCAATTACTGAATAATTAATGTGCCACAAGATCCCAGACACATGAGTGAGGCCATCTTAGCTCCTCCATCTCTGAGATGTCAATGTCTGCAGCCACACAAGTAGTCTCAGCTGAGCCCAGCCAACTCACAGACTTATGAGAAATAACAAATGATGGCTATATTAAGCCACAGGATCTCACTATGTAGTTCTGGCTGGCCTTGAACTAATTATTAACCCAGGCTGGTCTCCAACTCAGGGCAATTATCCTGCCTCAGCCTCCCAAATTCTGGGATTATGGGTGTGCTACCATGCCCAGCAAGCCACTAAATTTTACAGTAGTCTTGTATGCAACAAAAGCTAATTGAGATGTTATCTAAATAAACTGTACCATAAAATGTAATAACTATATAAAACCCAATCTATATTATGGACAGTACTATAAAAAGAACACTGATCCAAGGGGCAAGAGAAACTGTTGTAGCCTAGGATTATTATTAATGGTATGATTTAGAGTAATCACTTAATCTCTCTTGATTCCTTCTCTCTTTGCATAGTGGTGCTGAGTAAGATGGTGTTCATGATTCTTTCCATTAATAGGTATAAATGTTGCACGTGACTCATATATATTATTTTTAAGACTTAGTAGCTTTTCCCAGGTGTGATGAGGCACACCTGTAATCCTAGCACTGGGAGCCTGGCCGAAGGATCACTGAAAGTTTGAGGCCAGCCTGGGCTATGTAGTGGGCAAGGCCACCATGAACTTGCCACTTTCTGAAGCAGTTCTCGAAGTCCTTTATGTCTTTAGTTGTGCTACTGTGGCTGTCTCTGTCCTAATCTACTCAAAACACTTACCTTCCATGGTCATTCTGACTTTGGAGAGAAGCCATAAGTTGCACTGCACCAGTTCTGGTGAATAAAGTAGATGAGGACACAACATAATATTTTTACAAGCCTGCCTTCCCAGTAGATGGTGCTCAGCAGCAGCATTCGCGGTATCTTTGGTCATACCTCTTAAGGACCCTCATGCAAAAGGACTCCCAGCACTACTTTATAAAGTGGCAACACCAAGGGGATGAGTGAGTTTGAAGTGAAGGGCAGTATTTTGAGGAGGATTAATGGCAATGTGTCTTTTAAATATTCACCATGTATTTCAATCACACTTTATATTTAACATACAGCTACCTTATGAAATTAAATGTTTTTTTCCATATATTTACTGGCTGCTAAAAATTTGAATACGGTTTGTCCCCACCTCGTGGTGAGTCTTGGTCTAGAATGTAACAGTATTGGGAGATGGGATCTACCTGAGGCATCTAGGTCACAGGTCTCCAGCTACAGGAAGGGGTTCGCGTGGCTCCTGTGGAGTGGGTGTGGACTGTTATGTAATGAGCCTGCCACCTCCCTCGCTTTTTGGTACATGAGCATCTTCTGCGCACGTGCCCACTCGCCCCTGTGCTATGCAGCCTTGTTCAGAAGCCAAACAGATGCTAGCACCATGCTCTTGCCCTTCCTGACCCATAAATCATACATGTGTGTGTGTGTGGAACTGGGGTTGGACCTTTTCACTGAGCTACATCTCTAGGACCACCCCCTCCTCACACATAAACACCACCTTTTTATTTCCTAAGAGAATCTTGCTAAGTTGTCTGGGCAGGGGTCAAACTTGAGATCCTCCTGCCTCAGTCTCCCACAGTGCTGGTATTATAGGCATGTGCCATCATGCCTGGTTGTCTTTTTTTAATTGATATTTAGTTCTTTGTGTTTTAGATATTATATATCATCGAATTAAAGTAACCAACAGCTTATAAAATGCATGGTTATCACTAAGAAAACAACTGGCAATTACGATTGAAAGATTCCATGTAGTATGTGCTCCAACTGTATATGTAAAACAATGAAATGACTGTTTCAGTATTGATGAAGTACTGTAGTCCTTTATAGATACGTGTTGCATATGGAATATTTCAGTAAACAATTTCTTGAAACAGCACTTTCTATAACTCATCAAAAACAATAGAGATTCGGAAGAAAACCTTTCAAAACCTATTGCAACTTTGTAAACAATACTAGCAAAATTTAAAAATTCTACATAAAAATATTAATAGTTTAAAATATGTATTAAATTCCTAATAAAAATATTACAGTAAACAAAATACTTTGTCCTTAAAATTGAAAAGATAGTTTCAAAGAAAGGGTAGTAAAAGAAGGGCTGAGGCTACAGAGTAATAAAGATGAAGCAAAGTGCGATCGATATAG